GCGGCATGTTCTGTTCAGGCGGTCGTGCCGTATGTTGACGGGGATGATATTGTGTTGGGAGGAATTTGTTGGCAGGATAGAACACCACTGGTCATCGTTAACGGAACTTTGTCACCTCAGCGTTACATGGATGACATTCTTCATCCAGTTTTGAAACAGCCGCTGGGTGGTGTCCTGCATTAGTATGACAACGCCAGACCCCATACAGTCAGCAGTGTGCAGGGCCTTCTTGCACCAACGTGTTGCTGTGGCCTGCACTCTCCACAGACATGTCCCCATAAAACACCTCTGGGACGCCATTGATCGCCATGTTCGTCAGCGACCGCATTCTCCAAAACTGATCCAGGACCTCCAGGAAGAATGTTGATGTAGACAACTGACCTTTTCTTTGCGCCGAATAGTTTTAACCGTGTCTTGTAGTAGGGAGATGGCCATACACTCTTCCATATGACGTATCCTTGAACGTATGCGATTATAGATGTGTGTGCCCATTGTCCATTATGCTGACAGATTTTTTTGTATTCCACCTTATTCCAGCCTCTATCATGGCAAAATCGGTTGCTGTTTGACTCTCCTATCACATGTTGATTTTGTTGAGATTTTGATCTTTCAACACATTTTACTAAGTGCATCTATCATTTTTTTAAAACTAGATTGATTTAAAAGTATGCTAAAGTTATTTCAGTAAGTTAAGCAATAACTGAAACAAATTTGGGATGAAGTCATTCATATGAATGAATTCCGGAAATTCTTTGGATGGTTTTCTCCGAAGTAAACCATATTTAAAGGGAGGGTTTCGGAAGTAAATAAGACCCGTGCTATATGATAGACAGCATGTGACAGTTTTCCTCAGGGCAAAAGAATATCGTGGAGAAGCGTTTCGCTATGCACGCAATAACTATAGGACGGGAATCTGTAAAGTACATAATATCTGAAAAATATAAATGCATGCAAAACTGTAAAGGGAAGAATAGTCAAGAACCCGCACGCATTCTTCTGAAACACATGTACAACGCAAACAACAGCATCTACTACAGATTTAGATACCCTGACTTCAAGCATCATATACTCTACAGGGGCCGGGTGCGCACAGTCGTAAACATCATTTGGGATTGCTTGACAGCCGCCATATTGGATCACTTCTTTCCATAAGCTGACGTTGACGTTGAAGATGAGATGGGACCAGAAATATCTCTTTGTACCTCTACCGATGAACACAACAGGACAGAACTAGTGTAATATGTCTTTTCTGCTTAGCAGGTATTGACGTCTAATAAAGCGATCCTTGTATCTAATTATGTGTATAGTTTAAAGAGCAAATTTACGCGAAATTGAACCTTTTTGTTCTGCATTTTATCAACATAAAAAAGTGTTTTTCAACTAGTTTCATATCCAAAACAGTATAAATATCACAAGTAACTAATATATTTTGGCATTATATCGATTTATATTCTGCACATTTATCAAGAGTTCTATGTTCACACAAAAACCCACCGTGGCTATGCCCCTTGCAATACGTCGCCATTGTGCTAAATGAGAAAGAATCACAAGACCTTATTAGATCCAATTGACGTGGTGCAGCTACAGGTGTATGGTTCTTGTGTGTCGACGAACAGCCTTCCGTTTTAACCCTCATGGTGTACCGATCAGTGTTACAACACCATTAAATCTGAAATACCATATTGTATAACATTAATTTGAGCGGTTATATCCCAAAACTTCCACAACCCAATACTTCCACATCCCAATACTACCACACATTGTTAAAACAACAACACCCCTTTTTAGGTAATAGGATAGCCCAGGAAGTGCACTGAACTGAAACAACAGAAAATGATACATCACCTGACTTAGCAGAGTAGAGTTTTTAGTAGAGAAGAGAGCAGTTAGTTAATAAATCTGAAAAAATATATGTTACAGTCAGATCACATTCTGCACTATACCACCAAAATAAAAATAATCCAATACATTTTATCTGGGTCCCATCGCATATCGGAGTCTATGGCAACGAAATGGCAGACCAAGCAGACTCCACTCTAAAAACAAAATAAAAATACCTTACTCCAAAACAGACCTAACAAATAAAGTTACATTATAATAATAAATAAATTCAATTATAACTGGCAAATAATAGGAAAATATTATCCACTCTATCAAATTCAACAAACACTAAATACAAAATTATCACCATGCACGCCGAATTGATGTTGCCAGAACCAGACTAAGATTATCAAATTGCAATCTTAATCACTATCTACACAAAATAAACCTTCATCCAAACGGCAAATCTATTACTTGCCAAATTCCTGAAACAATAGTCCACACTATCTTTTACTGCTCAAAATATAATAAACAAAGAATCCCACATTTACCAATGCTTTAAAACAGTACCTCAACAATGCTAACTCTTCTGATCTCAAGCACATTCTAACAAACCCCAAATTAATTAAACCACTCACTAAATATCTTATTCATACAAAATTATACCAAACAATCTAGTAACAAAAACAATAATACACTAATTCCATTTTTACCATTTTAATTTTTTTTATCAGTATGTATATATGTTCCTTTAACTTTTCAAATTAGTTCTCTTTTTGGAGGCCATCAACTTCATTTTTTACTGCACGTGCACCTTTTATATGGGCTGGAGTGGGTTTTTAACTCGAATCATTGAAAAGATAAAATATATAATTTATTTCTCTTTTTGACTAAGTGATTGTTTGCATTCAGTACTAATTAATGAACTTCATTTTGTAACCTTTTATATGTTCATCATTTGAAAAATAAAATATTACAGACTGGGGTAATCAGTATGCTGAAGTGTGTGCAGTCAACCAGAAATGTTGTTGTTATAAGCTGTGGAAGTATTGGGAGAATACCATTTGAGCCTGTCGTCTTTGAAACAGTATCTCATGGTGCACTGACAAGCGTTACAACACTATTAAATCTGAAATACCATATTGTGTAACATTCAATCTGAGTCTGTCGTTTTTGAAACAGTCGTCGTCTTTGAAACAGTCCTCATATACCGTATCTCATGGTGTACTGACCAGTGTTACAACACTATTAAATCTGAAATACCATATTGCATAACATTCAGTTTGAGTCTGTCATCTTTGAAACAGTATGTCATAGTGTACCGATCAGTGTTACAACGTTATTATTTCTGCAATGCCATATTGTATAACATACAATCTGACACTGCCTTCTTTGAAACAATATCTCATAGTGTACCGATCAGTGTTACAACACTTTTATTTCTGCAATGCCATATTGTATAACATTCAGTTTGAGTCTGTCGTCTTTGAATCAGTATCTCATAGTGTACCGACAGTGTTACAACACTTTTTATTTCAGCAATACCATATTGCATAACATTCAATTTGAGTCTGTCGTCTTTGAAACAGTATCTCATAGTGTACCGATCAGTGTTACAACACTATTATTTCTGCAATACCATGTTGCATAACATTCAATTTGAGTCTGTCGTCTTTGAAACAGTATCTCATGGTGTACTGACCAGTGTTACAACACTATTAAATCTGACATACCATATTGTATAACAACCCCAAAAAGTACTAGAATCTGTACTTTACTGAGAAAGTGTAATCCCAAATATAACATATGTTACATTTGACCACTTTCTACAAAATGGCATTGTGTATTTCATGTATAACATTCAATTTGAGTCTGTTGTCGTTGAAACAGTAATTTCTTTCAGCAAATACATACATGTACTAGTTTTTCCTAACCATCGGTGAATGTGCCGGCATTTATATTTGCTACGTTTCTACATAAATCGTAAAATATATGTCCCTCCTCTTTAACATCCAAATTCATCACCAACATAGATGCACTTCGCAGTTCTGAAATTCATTTTCCTATGATATAATCCACTCATATATCGTAAATTTCGCCACTAAATCATCTTTCATGGTGTTTTGGCGTAATTTTGTGTATGTTTTAATCTAAATATCGAATATTTACTGGCAAAATTGAAAAATGAAAATCCCGTAAAACTGTGGTCACGGGTATTTGTTGTTGTTGTTGTTGGTGGTGGTGGTTGTGTTGTTTGATAATGAGTGTGTAATGCTATGATTATGCATTGATACATATGCATGTATTGTAATACGTGGATGAATGTGCGTAAACATTCGCTAGGTCTAATCAAAACAGTGAACACACACACACACACACACACACACACACACACACACACACACACGTCTTTCCAGCGCTATATTAAAGTGGTAGATTCTCGTAACAAAACACAAAGTTATAAAACAAGGAAAGACGGACATTCTGTTTTGTTTCAGACCTAGACGGCAGTATCACCATACTCAACAATGAATACATATACACATATCTATGTATTGATACATAGTAATTATTCAACAAACCAGTTCTCCATCAGCTTACACACACACATATACACAGACATTTTTTATTAAAAGAGTATAGCACCATCTCACTGTATTTGCAAGTTATATTTGAGAGGCGCAGAGGGGTAGCCTAGGGACCAAAGCGTTCGCTCGAAACGCCGAAGACCTGGGTTCGATTTCCCACATGGGTACAATGTGTGAAGCCCATTTCTGGTGTCCCCGCCGTGATATTGCTGGAATATTGCTAAAAGCGGCGTAAAACATACTCCGTGAGTGAGCATATTTGGGAGAATATTTCTTTCTTGGTATGTTAGATTGAAATACTAGAGTGTACACGCTAGAATGAGAATATGTCAGGGTAGTCATTTGCTGTAACTACACACAGCTTTGTCTTCTGGTTTGAATTTTGTTATGGAGACATCCCCGCACCATTTTGTTAAAGACGACCACTCTATAGCTAGATGTGTTGAGGACTAAATTATACATATGCATGTAGAAACGCAAAAATCACAAACCTTCAATCTGCAAGTGCAAGACAGAAAGATTGCCAGTGACTTGCATGTACATACATATGGTCAGTCGAAGGAGTGAAATAGAGACGGTATTAGTTTGCACACATTGTACCCATATGTGATTTTTGTGTTTGTGTCATTACGATCATGTATACGTACAATTTGACTTCGTTTGTATACGTTTCCATCTGGTTTGTGTGTTTTCTTCTGATTTACCCAAGCCTGATTATGCAACAGTTAAAAACATCTGGACAACTAAATAATTCTTGTAAAGATTTCACATAATTGAGAACGGGATCTTTGTCTAGACTGTCAGATAATGTAGAATGTTGCTGCAGAGTCTGTTTGTCTCACGGAATACCCGGGTTTGACTCCATACATATGAATACAACATGAGAAGAAGAGTTATGTAAACATTGTGAATCGGCATTGTGAAAGTCTTGTCTAAATTAAAGTTGGTTAAAATCTACAGACAGTCACGATAACAAGTTGGCTATAGTACATCATCACGTGTCATCCTGGAGGGATATGTCTTAAAAAGGCCTTTAAAAAAGTATGTTTGATGCAAACAATTGTATATGTTTATTATTAGTTTGATAGTTTTGGGGAAACCTTTGTTGGTGTGAATTTGCCATATATTCACTGAGAGATCTGTTTGGACAGACTTTTGACCTGGAAAATGTGTTAAGCAATATTGTGGCTCAGCATGGAGACATTGAACTGTTCTTAGTAATGAATAAATGGTATCTATAATTGATGATTCATCGGATTATCTCCCGTGTGAAGATGAATCTGAATGTGACATTGTGGCGGGTGCTTTAGAAGAAAGGATTCACGTATATATCAATGCAACTTTCTTGGTGGGACACTGAATGTGAAACATTAAACCTGAGATGTACACTCTTCTTGACATTTACACAACAACTGATAATAGTAAAGGGGTCTTCAAGCTTATCGCAAGGCCAAAAGCAGGTTTACAAATGCATGCCGTGTGAAAAGAAAACGACATGAAGAAAACAAAATGAATGATGTACGTGATAAAGTTAAGTCTGTCAAAGATATGTGGAAGAAAATATTACAATAGGTGAGTGGATCAAACATTTTCAGAGTTTACTTGTTAACAGTCAGCAATATATCGACGAAGACTTTGCAGGGTATGTTGAAAAAGATCTTGAAATTTTGGAGAATAATGAAGAATATGTTGATGAACTGGACCGTGCAATAGCTGAGTCAGGGATTTTAAAAGCGCTTCATGAGTTCAAAAATCAAAAGGCACATGGACCAGATGGTACTGTTATTAAAGAACTCTGTGTTCATTACATCATGCCTCATTTATTAGGTATATGCAATAAGGTTTTGGACTCTGGAAGTGATGGAATAACACATCCCCTACACAAAGATGGCGCCCCTGGAAATCCCAACAACTATAGACGAATTTGTTTACTAAATGTTTCAGGAAACTATTTACAAAGATACTAAATCGGAGGATTACAAATTGGGCGAAATTAAACAGCACACTACATAAGGAACAAGCAAGTTACAGAAGAGGATATTTAAGTACAGACAACATTTTCATCTTACAATCCATTGCACAGAAGTATCTTTCCTGAGAAACCCCAGGATGTATGCAGTGTTCATAGATTTATCTATGGTCTTCGACTCGGTGCATCATTTTCTTTTAATTATGTTCTTAAGAAGAATGGAATAACTATACAGACATTTAACACTCTCAAATCAATGTGCTCAAAGCGTAGATCATCCCTTTACACTTACAGAGGATTGAGTGAAAATGTCACTTGTTCTGTTGGAACAGTCAGTCAGTCAGAATGCAGAGGGATATTTGTCAGTAACATTTTGAAGAACTTAACAACATTACTATTCGCAGATGACATTGTTAATGCAGTTGACGCTGTGTACAGGTTACAAGAACAGATTAACCTTCCTAGTGAATTCTGCAGCAAGTTCGGAATTACAGTGAATAAAGATAAGACAAAGATTATATACTATCCCCAAAAAGAAACGCATATGCGTTTTGTATTTAAACAAATCTATTAATTACCTATTGTGTTCAAACAAACGTCAAAATATGTAGGATGGTGCACTTGCTTGTGCCACTGTCATTGGATCAAGAAGAATATCTTCTCAATTGCCTGATAACAGCTCTATTTTTACAGCCGACGCTAACGCCATATTAACAGCCTTAAAATATATTAATAGACACCCTAAATATAAACAATATATAATCTTTTCTGACTCTCTTTCACACCTTCAGGCTCTGAAAAATCTTTCTGCTATACATCCATTTTTAATATAAATTATTGAATTATATAATGGTCTTTCTACTGGCCAATATGACATCGTCTTTTGCTGGTTACCCAGCCACGTTGGCATTTCTGGGAACACAATGGCTGATCTTGCTGCTAAGGCAGCACTCAACAAATCTGTGACACCACTTCTTATTCCATACACTGATTACACAACTCTGATTAGATCGTACATCCGTGATCTGATGCAGAAGAAGTGGGACACCCAAGTAGGTATTAATAAATTACATGAAATAGAACCCTATGTTGGTTATGCCTACTTGGGTTGTCAGTCCAGATTTAAAGAGGTCATTATGAGAAGGTGTCGTATTGGCCATACTAGATATACCCATGAATATTTGCTTAAAGGCGAAGATCCTCCGTTTTGCATCCCTTGTGATGAAAGAATCACAGTCAAGCATGTCTTGCTTGACTACATTGAATATTCCATCACAAGGGATATCTATTTCAAATCCAAAGCTCTATGAAGGATCTATTTAATACTGTCAGTTCTCATGTTATTATTGCATTTTTAATAAAATTAGATTTGTTGAGTGATTTGTAAATAGATATATATTTTATTATTGGTAGTTTAGATTAGCAACTGAGATTGTTAGTGGCTGTATCCTCAAAGGGGGTTGAAGTATTGTAAAATTATTGTCCTCCTGAGAGGGTACGTAAGAATAAGTGTGTTTTTAATTTATGGCTAGATTTCTCTTCTGTCGCCAATGGCTGAAGGGATGGTGTAAATCCAACTAGGGTCCATGCAGGTAGCAAAAGTAATGTAAGTCCCCATGGTTCCTAGTATGGTGATCTACCTTCAGTTGTTGGCGATCTATAGCCCGTTTTTATATTGTATTGTCTTCGTAAGTAAAATAGTTTTACATGTTCATGCTAGTTTTAGACTCCATCTGTGATACTCTAGTTATTTTACCGTCCTTCGCTGACTGATTCTTTAGCAAGTTTAATTTATTATTTATATAAAACATTTCTCGTCACGATATGGCTGAAATATTGCCGATGTGACGTTAAATAATAACTCACTCACTCACTCACTCACTTTTTAAATTACATTATGGGTAATAAATAGAATAACCAACTCGGTACGAGTGATTACGGTAATTATGCCCTCGTTAAAATAATGTTCAGTGCCTCGCCAAGGCTCGGCAATGTGAACATTATAGGGCGAGGCACTGAAGATCATTTTAACGAGGGCATATTTACCGTAATCACTCGTACCGAGTTGGTTATTTTCTAAACAAACATATATATCAACATGTACAACTGCAATTTGGCTGGATGGCCTAATTCATGAATAAACAACATATTACAACATGAGAAGACCCGTATTTCTTTCTTCCATTGCAACAACACTATACTGGATCTTAAACCATACGTATAGTTAGATACAATCAGTACGGAATAAGACCTAATATACCTGCTAAACAGAGAAGACATATTATACTAGTTCTGCCGTGTTATGTTCATCTGTAGAGGTACAAAGGGACATTTCTGGCCCCATCTCAACTTCAACGTCAACGTCGGCTTGAGGAAAGAAGTGATCCAACATGGCGGCTGTCAAGCAATCCCCAACGATGTTTACGACTGTGCGTACCCGGCCCCTGTAGAGTATATGATGCTTGAAATTAGGTACATGTCAGTGGTAGATGCTGTTTTTCTTTATTGAAAATGTGTTTCTGAAGAATGCGTTAGGGTTCATGACGATTCTTCAATCTGAAGTATTTTTAACATTATTTTAAGATATTATGAACTCTAGAGACTCTCGTGCAGATGATACGGTTTACTTTGGGAAACGCCTCTTCAGGAGAGTTTTTTTCACAGAAGAAACCTGACATTTAGGTATTGTTCTTAACACAGCCAGGTTTTTATCGGTATTTTGTACTTCTTTATCCATCCTCTTTTGGCTATTTCTGAGAAAATCATCACCTTGTGAGTAAACATTCCTGAGATTTCCTTCCGTTATATTATTACCGAACATCTTGTTACCTTCTTTCATATGGATGCCTACACTCAATTTGTCTGTTTCAGTCACTGCTTGAATGACTCAAAACAACCATAATTTAAGTGACGATCAAAAGAAACCTTTCTTTCGTTTTACATCAGTCTAGTTTAAAAACTATACACGATAGATGCATGAGGTCAAATGTATGATATGCATGAGGTCAAATGTATGGAGAAGATCAAATGATGTCACGTGGCAGCTGTTGTGGAATTTTCATTAACCAGTGTTGTTCTCAAAAGCTAAAGGAAACAAAGGAAGGACTGTTTGCATCCCTTATCAACCGTGTTGAGTCATTAGATCCATAAACCAATCATTTAGAACGTATACAACAGGAGATGTCCTGGGCTGTATGATACGTACAAGAACCAATCCACCGCAAGCAGGATAGAGATGCTCTCAATTGGCAGACCGACAGAAGACAGGATGACCATCAATGTCACAATAGCAGCGTTTGGAATTCCTGCAGCACCCACACTTGTCAACACTGTACACAGACTGAAACAATCGCCGTTATACCCAGTTTTGTTGAGCTAGTGAATGGTATTTTTCGTATCTTGAGCATTTCACTAAATATGAATGTTAAAAAAATTACAACAAAGAAACCATATATTTCAAAACCTACATAGTGGCAACCCCATCTTTTATCAGTGACACACACTTATATTCTAGCTGTAGACCTCCTGTAAATAATGTGTAACCGGCAGACTAGTGAAAGAGTAACGAGCCAAAACATCGATATAGGATGAAACAGTGAATCCAATTAACCACCCGAGATAACCTAGAGGACAAAGTATGTAGGTTTATGGTAATACGGAATCCTCGAGAAATAACAAGAATTGTGACTATGATGATGCATTACTAAACATCTAAATGTATATTATTATTTTTTTACGGATGTAAAATGAAATTTGAAACAGAGTTGAAAATTATCAGTATAGATCCACCAAATATAATTTGAAATCAGGTGAAAAATGTCAAGTCTATTTAGAGCAAACATCACACACAAAATGATCACTATTTGCAAATTCTATTTCGAAAATTTACAGGATTTTCCTAACAAAGACCTCCAAATGTACAGCAAGAGCAAAACGCCGATTGATGCAGATTGATGAATCTTGAAGGTGCTTTGAACATTCAGTTTGAATCATTTGAACCAAGGGGAACAACTCTGTAGTTGTACATAAAACTGTTATCATATTCCATTTTAACTCCGAAATCAGAACTTAATTTGAAAAGGTATAGTTCAACAGTAAATGGTGAGTGAGTGAGTTTAGTTGTAGGCTGCACTCAACAATATTCCAGCTTTATGGCGGCGGTCTGTAAATAATCGAATCTGGACCAGACAATCCAGTGATCCACAGCATGAGCATCGATCTACCCAGTTGGTTTAGGATGTCATGTGTCAGTTAAGTCAGCGTGCCTGAAATCCACATCCCGTTAGTTGCCTCTTATGGGTTACCAAAGATCATTTCCCGGATCTTCAAGGGTCTCAACAGTAGATAATCCTTTACAGTTTGCATGGAGCGTAATTGGAAAGATTATGCTGTGTTTACACTAAACAAATCACAAAATGAATATATGCCATGTACATGGTCAAACAACAAATACTATATATATATATATGAAGCTAATATAACAATTCCTTTTCAAGCCATAGATATTTGTATGTTTCGCTGAGATGCTGTTTTACCTTAGAAGAATTATCTCAAAGAAATGCAGGGATATCGCATGCATCTGGGCGACGTAGATTGCTGATACCACATAAAAGATTGCTGTACCATCCATGTTGATCGTTGCACCAAGAGGTAGTACGAAGCGAGTGATGGCATTGTTCATCTTCAGGTTCTCTTCGCAGCATCGGATAGTTACTGGCAGTGTGGCAGAGCTGAATGGGAAACAAAATAAAGTTTACTGGTTTCTTGTTTAACGCCGCACTATTGCAATGTTCCAGTTATATGACAGCAGTCAGCACATAATTGAGTCTGGACCAGACAGTCCAGTGATTGACTACATGAGCATCGATCTACGATGACATGTATCAACCAGGTCAGCAAGCGTGACCACCTGATCCGGTTCGTCGCACCTTACGATAGTCATTATGGGTTGTTGAAGATAAATTCTAACCAGAATCTTCACGAGTGAAACAAGATAAGGACCATGGGATATACCAAAAGACAGATATGGTCAGAGGTCAGTATTCGGTGAAAAGTCTTCAGGAAATATATGTTATAATCATCACCTTGTAAACACAAAAATCAAAGTTCATGTTAATGCAGTTAAAATAAATGTTATGGCTTGTCATATGGAGTAAGACTCAGCCTTCTAAAACTACCTAATTATGATAGAAACGAACAACAATTATTCAAATACTTAAATTTGAAAGAAGGCCTAGTGAGAAGGGAGAGAACATATCTGAACTTGCTTCATTTGAGCTTTTGGATTAATAGGATAGGGTTGGTTCGAAGGGAAAATGACGAGGGACTGCGAGACAGGCTACATTAGCATAGCCTTGGTTATTTACCTGGAAGCAATTGCAAGAGCCGTGACGATCGCCTGTGTTACTCCTCTGATGATTCTGAACGGGTTCTTCTTAGTTAAAGCAAAATACAACAGAGGTAAGAGTATCAGAACATGGAGACTGGTGCCAGCAATGATGGTGGTTAAATAGATGGCAAGCTGTTGGGTCGTGCTTGTCAGATCCTCCACGGATAACACCTTCCCTATTATCAGAAACATTATCCCCACTGGTGAATACCTGCAACATATATGATAGAAATGACGTTGACATACACGCTCTACTCAAATTGCAGTTAAAGCAGGAACTCGGATGAATTGAGCTTGTTGGTTTCACTACCAACACTCAGTTAGTTATGAATGTATGTTTGGTTACAATCAAAACCTTTTTTCAGAAGAACTGATGATGAATTCATTTTTGAGCTTTATGCTGAAAATAAATCTTCATATTGGAAACTCTTAAGAAACATAGTTAAAAAGTCCGCTTCCGCTTTCTACATTCCCGCTCTAAAGAGAAATGGCAATGAAGAGGGTCCGTCAGCGTTTTCGGACTTGGAAAAGGCTAATATGTGAATATTTTGAATCTATATGCAATTTAGAAGAAGATGAGAATTTAGACCTGCCTCAGTTTGACAAACGCACTGACGCGTTTTTGGAAAAAAATAACTCTATCAGTAATGAAATATCCGATATTAAATGCTTGCCTATAAAGAAAGCAGCAGAATCAGTTATCAATTGCTTAAGAAAACGGTCAACTCTATTAGTCCTGTACTGTGTCTATTATTCA